GGACACAGCCATCATAACCACGCACACTAGAGTTCTGCAGTGATGACGGATTTTTGTTGGCCAGCCCGGAAGTTTGCATCACCGTGGTTCGCTTGACAAAAACACAAATAGGTTTATTGAGTATTGCAGAAAATATGCTCTTTGACCAGCAATAGCCTATGATAATTACATGTTTTTTTTCCATCAAATTAATTTAACTTTTATTAATTTTGAAGCTTAAATACTTAAGAATTGCCCTGCAAATTCTTCACAACATCGGTGCTATACTTTCCTGTTTCTTGTGTCACATTGTGGATTTACTCTTCCACATTTCATATAAATGAAACTGCCTCTACCTTGCATCTCAGTTATCGATTGTAGCAAAATATGACCTCAGAGGACTTTAGAATTTAACTGTGATATTGTAACTATAAATGTATTTAAAATAGCAAATATTGTTACAGTGTTTGTCTACAGCCATCGCTTTGTACGTTGTAGTGGATACATAACAGAAGCCTTTAGGTAATATACATTTTTAACCCTATCAAACTGTATTTAATGTAAGCCAGAATAATGGTCATTATCTCAGAATAAACCAGTACATTATCTCTTACAGCAGGTTTTAGTTGTGCGTGAACACAGCTGAAGAACAGTGTATTGTCTCCCCCCTTTGTCCATACTAAGAAACAACACTCTCGGTCTCTTTTTCTTTTTCTCTCACTCCTCTTTCCTCTTCATCTGCATCACAGGTTGTCTGTTCCTGTAAAGGTTGCAGCTTAGGAAAGCTTAGCCTATTCTGTGAATGACCTTTGCTTTTAATATGAATATTTCTCTTTCATTATTACTATCATATAGTAAAATCTATGCGCATGATCGGGCACAATAGATCTCCTTTTCATTAGTGCAGTAAAATGCCAGCCCAGGCAGTGTAAGGGACTTCCAGCCCAGCCAGATTATTCACTCCTCCGTCTTCCCTTGCTCCCTTAACCACCTCTTGACAATGAGAATTAATATGCGTGCAGTTCTGCTCTCTCTTCTCGCTGGAGTTCAATAGGCAACTTTATCAGGAAGAACATTATTGAGAGCTTTGCCGAGAGCTTCTTCATCACACTCATATCTGAGCCGGCCCAACACTTGTCACTGTCAATCACAAGGTGATAATACACTGAAGATTTCCTCATTTGGTTTAATAAAATCTCCGGGCTTATTTGAACTGCAGTCATTATAGCAAATAATTGCTGCATTGAGGTGCTAGCCGGGCCATAGCCTAAGGGATAAGACAAGACTATTGCTGTGTGTGGGACTCGGATGATGCTTTTTTTCCCTCCTCTTTCCTCTCCCCAGTCGTGCATATTCCAACAATGAATATTGCATCTGAATCCAGCTCTGGCTTTTCTTATTCAAACTAACATTGTTATTACTTATTATGTAGACATGAAGTCATTCGTTCTGCCTGCTTTATGGCTTTTGCTGTCGTGGCATATTTCACTGGGGGGCTGCCAATTGCAATTTTTAACTGTCATTTAAACCAAATTGCAGATCAGAATAAGCAGGCCCTTGGTGTCTCAGAGGAGACACAGAGTGATGGCGAGGATGAGCACAGGATATTTTTCATCTGCAGTTTCGAACACAATGGCCTACTGAGTGTTTGCTTTTTGGGAAGTTTGGTACATTCATCAATACTAACAAAAAAGGACAACACAACAACCCAGCCGGCCATTGGTGTTGCTTTTTCACTTCAAACAGCAGTCTAAGGAAGCAAAACCTTCTGAAAGGCTGTTGGAAATCCATTATTTATTATTATTAAGCCTTCAAAAAAGGCATTTTAAACAGGTCTTCCTGCTTATGCCACAGACCTCATTTGGTGAACTCATACATTACAAACCCCTAAGAGACAGTACCAGTGTTGCCTACAGAAAAATATACACAAATATTGCTATTACTATTTCATAGCAGAACATATAAAACATTCAGCGTTGACATGTTTTTACATATCAGCATGACATAAAAAGATCAGGTTGAAACCAGACTGTGCCATATTATTTTATTTGCTGAACAAAGCAAACAGTCATTTTCTATGCTGGCAACATTATTAACATATCCAGCTCAGGTAGGCCAGAGGATATTTGCATTTGAGGCCGAATACAATCACCTTTCTCATGTCCAACATTTACATTTTGTAAATGCCACTGGAATCTAGTCAATTTCATTCTGTCAATGAGTCAGTGACCTTGCTTTGTTTACTGGCTGCATCAAGAAACCACAGGCCAATTATTTTATTAGCGGACTGTGTTGAAAAACAAAATGGAATCAGGTAATTAAACAATAATTAAGTCAATAATTAGCTTCCACTTTCAGCCCTGGACAATGTAATTTTCCTCAATTAGGTAAATCAGTGAAGCAGTAAATTAGTTTTTTCTTTCTCTCTATGTTCCTCGTAAATTATTATTAGGCATATCCCTTAAGAAATCAATCAATCAATCAATCAAACACCAGGTGCCAAATTTTACCGTGCAATTACTCCAGAAGTCAACAGGAAAGCTACTGTAGCTAGGGCCACCATAAAACTGTCTATATGTAATCTACTATTGTGACCATGTAATGACATCATCATTGGCAGTCTTGATAATGACTACTGGTTTCCAAAGCAAAAGCCTTTTAGAGAGGATTGAATTCCCTAGTGAAAAAAAGTATACTTTATTGTATTTGTAATATATTACCTGTTTTAATAGTACATTGCAAATATACTAACAAAAAAAGTACTATCTTTAAATATATAAAAAGTATATTAGCATCATGCTTTTGTCTATTTTCACAATACAACTTTTAACAATTGAATTGAAAATTCTGTTTATTTTTTATAAGTATATTTATTTGCACTTTACTTAAATATATTTTATGAATATTTTTTAACTGTGTGCTGAAAATGATCATTGTAACAATGCATTGAAAGCATACTTTCAAAGTACATTATTAAATAACCTGAAGTTGTAGTATATTTTAAGACACATTTTTTGAGTAAATTTTAAGTTTACTTCTTCATGCTTGGAATTCACTTCATTACTTGGACATACAGTGTTTTCAGGAAGTAATAACACAAATAAATAAACAAATGCATTATAAAGTGTACAGTCAAGTAAACACTGTCTATATTGCATGGCCAAAAACTGAAGTTCACTCACTCTGCATTAATATTATATCATTGCATTATTGTAAAACAACAATTGGCATTGATATCTGTATAAAGCTGCAGAAGTAGTTCCCCAGGAATCAGTTTTTAGTCTCTTTCAATATTGTTTGGAAGTGGAAAACACTGTTTGAATTGTTAATATTGTGTCTCTGTCTGTCATTTAAGTTATGTATTTATTGTAATGACCTTAAGAAGTGGATTCAGCATTGGGGAAAAATTAGCATATTTTTACTCAAAAATAATAAATTTATATTATATTGCTTGTGTGTTTCAAAGACACTCATAATTAATTTGTAATGTACTTATAATACAAAAAAGTACACTTTAATATCACTAATCAAGCATGTAAATAAGCATATTCTTAAAGTGTACTAAGTGTACTTGAAGTTGTTCCAATTTAGTATAGAAAAATACACTAAATACACTTAAAGTTATACTTTAGTATAATTTAATTACAACTAAAATACACTTAGTATAAAAATAGTTGTTCCACAATAGCACACTTCAAGTTAACTAATCATTAACACAATTGAAGTATACTGACAATTAGTCTGGCTGCAAGTATACTTGGTATACTTTTTTTTTCACTAGGGTTAGGCCAGGGGTGCTCAATCCTGTTCCTGGAGATCTGCCTGCCTGCAGAGTTCAGATCCAACCCTGATTCAACACACCTGTCTGTAATGATCAAGTGCTCCTGAAGATCTTAATTAGCTGGTTCATTTGTGTTTGATCAGGGATGGAGCTGAACATTGCAGGACGGTAGATCTTCAGGAACAGGATTTGGCACCCCTGAAGGCAGTCAGTTGGGGAGATTGTTGAGGTACTCTGATAGCTAGTATTTGACTCCCTCTGTTGTCCTAAAGGGGACATTGCAAAATCAGTCAATCCACTTGCCAACGCCAGTGTACGCGGAAAATGTATTTACTTTATTCTAGAAAGCTGGGCACATGCAAGTGAAAGGCCAAGGATGCGTCATAAGATGGCCTATATCTCCAAACATTTCTTATAATGACTAAAAATGCGGAAGTTTTTTATTTTACTATATGAAGAGAATTGATACGTTACAATATTTCTACCGCAAACGGTGTAATAGCTCAGGAATATTTTAGGGTTTGGTTTTATAAAGACTAATATAAAAATAAAGAAACCTATAACATTCCTATTTTTATAAGAAGTGATTTGTTTTAAATTAAAGCAATGACTTTTTAAAAGGCATACTGAAGCTCGCAATAAACTGACCTCTTGTTATGTATGAATAAATCTACCAATGAATCTGTTTAATTAATTCACATAAAAGCATGATTTAAAGGACCAATCCGAATTTGCTACCTTGGTTCGACATGATTAACAGGGAAATGCACCAATGCAACCGTCCGTCAAAGGGGAGGGTGGATAGACTAATACATGTTTTCAAAAACGTGTGAAATGTCCTGAGTTTAGCAAGGTAAGTCTCTTAAAGTCCTTTCTAATTTAGAAGTGTTTACTAACGTTTAACGTAGATATGCCCATGTATATCGTACTGTAAGATCAAATCCAAAACTCGCGTCCGTTAAAACGCTCAGCTCATAACTTAAGTTGACAACATAAGAAGCAAGTCTTTTGTCGGTCGATTTAAAACCACTTTCTCTGTAAACTTTGCGACTGATGTCATTCCCACACTATTATCCATCTAAAAAGATCGGCATGTGCCAAATATTTGCGGTCTAAACATTAACCTGAAGACATTTCACCTTGTGGATTGCTGTATTGTACGTTTGTTAGGGTGAAGGACTTGTCACTCACAATGAGAACCAATCACCGTCTTTCACTTGTGTTTATGTCCCGCCTTTTCCTGTCAAGTTAGTTAGAGGCGTGTTCGGTATTTGTGAGATTATTCGGAAAACACGGTCGGCGGTGGTTTAGTTAACCGTACAGAATAAAAAAAATCCGTCTAAATCAAACTATTTCACATTTGGACAAGTTACCGTGTAACATGTCTTCAGCCAGGTGACATTATTTGACTCAGGTAAGTGGAACCCCGTTAGTTATGGAGGTTTTGCTAAATAAAGGCTAGTCTACTCCAATTACAAATACCGTAACAGTAACGCAAACTCTGCTTTAAAAGCTGTGTTTTCACCTAGAGAACACTTCATTAAACGCTAAAATTTGCCTGTCACCAAACAAATCTGCCTGCAGTGGGTGTCGGGTAGAAATGAAGGCAATATATTTGTCTTACGAGGAGTCAGCTTTTGTTTCTAGTTGAGGCGGTTCGTCCAGTGTCTCGGGCGTTGACATCTGGCACTGTATTATATTACCACTGGATTTTCCCTCACCCTGGTTACATTTTTATATGAACTATATGGAGAATTCTTCGGCCCTAGGTTAATGTATGTTAGATCTGGCTGTTCAAAACGTCAAAATATTGATGACTGTAGAATTGTTTGCTCGTGTAGACGAGAGGTTTGGGGTCCATTCAACTTTTGAGAAGTCTTTATTAAAAAAATAAAATAAAAAAAAGTAAATGCATTTTAAAGTTAATAAAAAAAATTGATTAAAATAATTACAAAAAGAAAACAATGAGTATGTAACCTAATAGAAACTAAATATTTTGCAAATAATTTTACACACTTATAATATTGATTGTTCAGTATAAATTGGATATTTATATATACAAATGCATTGCTGCCTTTTAAGTTGTAGAGTGGGGGTCTCTCAGGATGATAGTATTTGGGGGTCTGTGTCATCTAAAAGATTGAAAACTTATATATTAGACTGTAGGTCACTGAAGTTCTCACTAGCGCCAACAACAACATGGTTAGTTGGGATTGGATTGCCACCAGCTGCCATAAAGCATCAGGTTGCCTATTGTGTTTTCTAAAGGTCCAGGCTCTCATCAGCACTTTTTTTCTTTCTCTTTCTCTTTCTCTCACAGCGAATTCTTCGGATGCCACCAAAAAGTGAACAAGCATACACCCATCCAGAGCTCAATGAGTAATGAACCCATTTTGGAGCATGTCGACAAACGCTGGTCGTAAGGTGAATTATGGCAGTCCACCAGTATGTCTTCTCATGAACAAATTTGACCTCTCTTGATCCTATCCTTTATTTCTGGCCTATTAAACTAGCTCGTGGATCGGCTTGTGAGTCTGCTGAGATTGACACAAGATTTCTCAGTTTCTTCTGTAAAAGCAGTACTTGTGATGCAAATGTATGAACTTGGTTGGCATAATTGTTTTAAAATGTGAGATGCTGTCTGACATCGCTAAGCATATATAAACATCCCAGTGTCCTTTACCTGAAGTCTAAATGACTGTTCACAGAGTAATGTTTACAACAGGTGACTGCAATAAGAAATCACGTGGGAGACTCTGGGTTTAAAGATGATTTTGCACAGATCAGACTCTCTAAAGTCACAAGCTTTAGTGGTGGAGGACTTTTTATTACAGAATGATGTAGGCTAGTCTCTCAATTCTGATTTGTTTTGAAATTACGGTTGTTATAAACCTTTGCTAAAATCTAAGAATTGCAGTCAATTAGTGCTTTTGACTGGGCTCAGCAAAAGGAGTAACAGTTTTTGTTGTAAACTACAAAGTTGTTGTCCTGACATTGGTGTGGTGTGGCGTGGCATCACAGCTGTCAAAAAGGCGTTAAATTCAGCTGTTTCTTAATAGATGCTGCTGACTCATGACCCAACTGCTCTTTTTGATTTATGATGGACACTTCTTGGACTAGCTGTTAGTAAATTGTTTTGAAAGTGTGTTTGACTGTATTCTGTGATATTCTGTATTTTGTTGTAGTTGGCTTTATTACAGGCTGTGTGCTGAATAGCTGAATCAGTTTGCTGTTAGTTTTTCCTTTTTAGGCCATTAAGCCTCAGGCCCCGGCCTCTACTGCTTATGAGTTTCTGGTGTCTGATTTTTACCTTCACAGTCCCTTGAAATATAGTCTCTCTCTGCTGATTTAAAGGCACAATATGTAATTTTCGCCGCTAGAGGGCACGTATTCAAAATAAACAAATAGACAAAGGCGTAATTTGATGACCCCGTGAGTCGTGACTGAGTGTGGAATCATGGGAGTTGTCGTCTTCATCCCCACAGCCGATGCAATCCGACGGGGACTCGGACAGAAATCACGTTCATGGATGAGCTAATGATTTCAAATAAAAGGCTCCAATAGATTTTAGAATCATTGAGCATGTGTGATTTGTTTGTGTAGAGATCTGACGGTGAGGAGCAGGGTGGTCCAGGGGAGCAGAGATCCAGTCCAGCTCGTCCTCCATTTGGTAAAAAGCAGCTTCCCTCCATCCCAAAGAATGCCGCCCCCATCACTAAAGCCGCCTCACCGGCCTCCTCTACACAGTCTGCCAATGGCACGCATGCCTCATATGGCCCTTTCTACCTGGAGTACTCGCTGCTCGCCGAGTTGTGAGTTATGCTCTATTTTTATTTATTGGCTATTTATTTTTATTTATTGTAACTGTACAAAAGACCAGGTTCCACAGGCTTCCACAGGTTTTGGGCAATAACGGTTTTGATGGCTTTATAGTAGTGTTGAATAAATGAAGCTGTGATTATAAAACACATCAAACCTGAGATTGAATAGATTTTTATGACTACATAACCAAGTTAAAAAACAATATGCATCACATTTGTTATTCAGCAGTCGTCTCAGAGTTGTGTATCAACACCCTAAGTTTGTGCAGCATATTTTGAGGTGTATGTTTTAAATGGACAATTTTGACCATGTGTCTGTTGCAGCACATTGGTGATCAAGCAGAAGCTCCCTGGCATCTATGTTCAGCCTTCATACAGATCAGCACTAAGTAAGCATGTCTTCCTCTTCCACTCTATTCTGTCTGTCACCGAATGCTCTTATGCTGCATTCCATTCAACTCCAAAAGAATTTCTAACTTCCTGCTTGGAAAAGTGCAACAGAATGTGCAGTCAATTAACTTCTATGAATGTGTCAGCATGGGGTTGCAATGTCACATGAATATGTTGGCGTTCAGGGAGATGTGCATGATTAATGAAATGAAAGGATTGGCTTTTTTTTTTTTCTTTTTTTTCTTTTCTTTATGTAACTACCAAACATCGGACCACAGAAATCAATATGGTTGCAAGTCAGACATATAGAAAACTCCCACACCCGTTTTTGAATGGAGCACAGCATTAGTCATTGTGTGTTGTATCATTGTGCTTGTTTTGCATCATCAAATAGTTTAACTTGTGAAATGATCAATGTTCAATAACTGAGCTGAAGAGTTAAATTGATTTGCTACATTGCTAATTTCTATCCATCAATGTCTTGTCTCTGTTGCAGTGTGGTTTGGTGTGATTTTCATTAGACATGGCTTGTACCAAGATGGTGTGTTTAAGTTCACCGTCTACATTCCTGATAACTACCCAGATGGAGACTGTCCTGTAAGTATAATATACAATTTCCACACATCTTTCCACACATCAAGAATAAGGATTTGCTATGTGTATTCATTCTATCCATGACCCGCTGTGATGGCTCCCCACATTAGTTTGCTGTTTTTTCCTCTGTAGACTCATTTACGGTCATTTGTAGAAGCTACACACACCATGAATTAGGAGTGTTTGAAATGTTAGACCATTCAACTTGAGCCCAGGTTTAACATGGTGATGGTTGATTGCTATAAACTTTTTCAAGGAAAAGGGACAAAGTAGAAAATAATGTCTGTGCATAGCACCTTATGCATTATATTTTATGATGAAGCTGGAGAATAGGAAACTTGCATACTTGTGGCTTTAAAATATCAAACCAAGATAGTGTAAACAAAATCTACACCGACAGTGATAAATGACTTTTCTAGTATTTTATTTCTACAAAAACTACAAATTTTCACCTCTGCTGGCTAATCAAGAGGCTGCTCACTGCAGAGCCAATGGGTGGAGCTTACGTCTTGCTCCCCCTCGGTAGATGTCCAGCAAGGAGGAGCGGATGTAATTTGTGCCTAATGGGTGGAGCTAGAATATCCAACCACACCCACACACTAACCCTACCCACAGCTCTATCCCTTCACCCCCTTAGATGTCCAGAGAGGTGGAGCTGGAAGTCATTTGACTCTGCAGCGAGTACCACTTGGGCTAATCTGTTGCTTAAATTAGCCATAGTAAAGTCAGACTTTGCTGTAGTCTTTACAAGTTTCATTGAAGTATTTCAACATTTTCTTATTTTTAAATAAGTCATGGAAATGTTTTCCATAAGTTATGGAAATGTCTATTGACTATAATAGCTATACTCAACTCTCAAACAACTGTGGGTTATGGAAACTAATTGTTCAAAAGGTTTGGGACATATAATTTTCACAATGGTCATGCCATCAGAAGGGCTGATCTGTTCTTCTTTTGTTGCGTTTATGCATGGTTTTTTTCAGAGGGTCATTTTTGACACCCCAGTTTTCCACCCACTAGTGGACCCGGTCTCTGGCGAGCTGGATGTGAGGAGAACTTTCACCAAATGGAGGTCTGTTCAAAAAAACAAAACAAAAACTGCTGTTTTACTGTATTGCTCTTTACCTCCCTGGAATCTAAATTCGAAGGGGCTCAGGGTTGTTTTGGAAATATTTTAGTGCTGTCAAAATGAATGTGTTAATGCATGCGATTGAAATTGTTTTTTTTTTTCAGTTTAACACGTTAAAAGCATTCAACACAATTAACGCAGAGGCGAAATTAGGTTGGCCACCCCACTCACA